TTTGATTTTTATACGAATGTTTTTTTCTTGGAAATTTCGCAAGTGGCATTAATTTTTAAGACCACGAGCCGCTAGGCGAGTGGTTTGAAGTTAATGCCACGAGCGAAATTTCCAAGGAAAAATCTTGAGTAAATAAAAATCAAAAATTTTTTCAGGGAAAATTTTATCACGAGTGGTATTCGGCAAGACTATTTCACGAATATTTTTAACTGCTGATTCAATTTCTGTATGATTTTTTGGACCAAAACGCATATTTTTTAACATTTTAATTTTAAAATTAAAAACGTCAACAGTGACAATTATTTTTATCATAGCAACCAATTGGTTGTTATGCAACTCGTATAAACGAGTGGTTTTTTCACCCATAATATAACAAGTGGTATGATTATCATCGATGATATTTTCGAATTGAAACCGAGCTGCAGATTTCACGAGTCCGCAGGACGAGTGAAATGTGCTGCTTCGGTTTTAATGAGTAAATATCATCGATAATTAATCATACCACGAGTTATATTTAGTGAGAAAATATAATGAATTTTAGGATTTAACAAATTTTTAGTTTGACATTTGAAATTAAAATGTGCTTTAAAATATAAAAAGACTTTAATAAACCTTATTTATTCAAACCTACCTTAATTTCATTATCGTTTACACCAACCCATCGATCTTTTAGAGTTTATAATTCATTATTTTATTAATATATATCAAAAACAGAATTTAAATGACAACACATGTCAAATCAAAAAAACGTCAAAATTCATAGTAACGTGTAAACAAGATGATAAAAATTATTGCCGCTGTGATAAAATACGTCACTATGGAATACTGGCATTTTATTGGTTCTAATATTAATGAATTGTATTGTCACCTGAATAGTAGTTTTATCGCTGCAAAACTGAAAAAACCACTCGTTTTCTGAAATCTGATTGGTCCAAAAAGTAATGAGTGGAATAGTCAATATTAATCAATTTAGGAGTGAAGAATATTTATAATTTAAATTTGTTTAAACTTTTTGCCTTTTTAAAATATAAAGGGTCAAATTGTATGTAAAAAACTAAGGATGATGTCTTTTTAATATTTTGAAAACGTCACATTTTTGTACTAGGAGAGCTGTTTACTTTCCGTCCTAAAATCAGATGTTTACTTTCGTCTTTGGATAATAATTATTATTATTGTTGCTGTCATCACATATCGTCCCAATAATCGTATGGTAGCGTATCTTTAATTTAACAATTTTACAGAGCATTTTAAAGATTAAAAGTTATCTAATTCTATCTAGTTAGCTAATTTAGAATATTTTTTGAAAAAAAAATATCGAAAAATATGCTATATCTATATCTTTTTTTACATGCGTGTGGAAAGTTTCTACAAAAGTCAGTGTCAATTAATTTTTAAGAAAATAATGAACCACCGTGTAATCGTCATAGTAATGATAAATCCTAGTAGGATTATTATAATACTACCGCGGTATACCGTGGAGAAAGAGTTCAATTTTCTCCACAGTTTAAGACTGAGCCACTTTTTTAATTGAAAAAGTATAGGAAATGTACAAATTCTTTAATATGATTAGAAAAATATATTTACAGAGCATGTCTCAAAAAGTCTGTGGAATCCAAAAATGCAAATAAAAGGGATATTTTTATTAAAAATAAGAAAGTTGGAACCGTCCCAGAGAAAACCGAATACCCTGTATAAGTAAAAATATTATTTAAAAAAAAATTGTATTAGTTCATTAGTATTTAGTCAGTTCTTTTGACAAAACAACAAATTATATCAACCTGCAAAGTTACAAGAGCCCACAGCCCACTTCTAAGTTTGACAGATAAAACAAAACCACGTTTTTTGAGTAAAACGTTAGGTTATTATGTTTATCATCTTACATTCTCATTAACTATCATGATTTCAACCAAAATACCATTTCACGTAATTTACCTACTACATTTACTACACAATAATTTACTTTGTTCTGTGATTTACTACATTTACTAAATAGTCAATGTATAAAATTTAATAAACGCAATTTTTGCGTCAGTTTCCCATCCCTGGGCTGGAGGCCTTACAAACGGGACAAATAATACTATTTTTACTCTTTTTTATTCTTAAAGTTATAGATATAATTATTAAAAGGAACTTGGCAATAATAATTTTATAAAACAAACTGGCTACCAAACAATTATTCTAAAATTCACATTAACACATGTGACGCAGCATTGCTTCACTTTTTCAATATACACCAAATTTAAAAGCGCACCCTTGCGGCAAACTGCCAAACTTCAATATACACGTATTTTACAAAAAACCATCAATGCTGCGTCACCCTTAAAATCGGTGTGTAGGATTGTCGTGACGTCACCAGTAAAATAAACCTTAAATGTAATGCTGCGTCAATATACGACGCAGCATTACACCCGACGCAGCATTGAATGCAAATTTCATAATGTATTGACGCAGCATTGTAGGCGGGTTTTATATATATGTATATATATATATATATATATATATATATATGATTTTTCAATACATAAAATATAACATAACTACCAAAAATATCAGAACTCTCAAAATATTTTATAATTATTATTTGTGGTATTCCTTTGGTGATTTTAAAAAGTTTTATATATAACATAATATTACATATTATGTTATATACAAAATTTACCAAAGAAATACGCACAAATAATATTTATGAAATATTTTTGACAGTTCTGACACTTCTCCACCAAACATGAAAGCCATCTAAATTTTAAATTATAAATAAAACTAACAATATCGCTACTAAACGGCCATTAAAAAAATTAATATATCTTTTAAAGTAATAAAAATAACAAAACAAGACTAACTGGACTGAAAAGATGAAGGTGGGGACTACATTTCCTGAAAGTTTCAGATTTTTATTTTTTCCTCAACATAATGATTTCTGAGGGCAAAATTGGCTAATTTTGAGAATTATCAATTTTCAATAATTTTTTTAATAAAGAAATTGATAGTCTAGAAACTTAAAATAATAGTTACGTTTTCTATTGTATAAGTACTTTATACCTGAAAAAAATGAACTTTCTAAAGTCAGTAGAATAGGCACAGGAGCCAGACAAAAATCACAAAAATTGGTAAATTATCATGAATCTTTAGTGGTTTACCATTCTTTTATGAGATTAACTAATTGGATAAAAATAATTTATATCGAAAACACACTTACTGGACAGTATAACAAAATTAAAATTATTTCAATATTTGTCACAGAAAAAAAGTTCTGGCCCACTATAAGAGAGTAAGAAATTGACACTATTTCAGACTTCTAAGGGGTGCCACATAAAAGTAAAGCAACAAAAAAATAAAACGGCAACGGATTTTCATATTTGACACCTAAAAGATCATCCTCAAATTTTTTCATCAAAATAAAAAATCACGCAGCGCACCCCATTTGGTGTTTTTATTTGGAATGACTCGTATGTTTCCAAAATACAGGGTGATAAAGTGTTACTTATTATATCAGTTTTTTTAATATAACTTCTACTTTGGTAAACTTGGAAAGGTGATATTTTGCGAACAGTCACTTACTACCAATACACATATAATTACAATTGTTTGAGTGAACACAGTGTCGTACAAACGGGGGTTGCTTAAGCTTATCGCCCCATATAAACTTTGAGGTTAGGTTTTTATACCATTTAATGCAATTTTTCGATTACTCAGTTCGTCTACTATTAAAAGGTGTACCTCTCAAGCTTCGATAAAATAAACCGTTTTCGAGATAACAATAATTGTTATATCGTATTAAAGGATTAAAAGGTAGGTATATGATAACAAATTTTATTTTTTAATTGAAAAATCTAAAATGTTTTTTAATGTGACGGTCAGGGCAAAAATTCCCGATGCTTATGAATTGGCCTTTTTAGTTTTTTAATTAAAAAATAAAATATTACCTTTCCAAGGCTACCATAGTAGAAGTTATATTAAAAAAACTGATATGATAAGTAACACTTTATCACCCTGTATCTTGGAAACATAAGTGATTAGGAAAAACATTTATTTAGGTTTTCGTCTTATTTTGACTTGCTCAATCTTTTCCTAAATTTACGCCATCCTATCCCTGCTTAAAATACCCCATAGAGACCCTGTTCAAACCAATAGATATTTGTATCGGGATGTATGGTGTTTCTATAGGGTGTATCGGTTTGTATAGGACCCGTAGTGGAGATTTATGGTTGTTCTATAGGGATATCCACCATTGATTTATTTGCTATCGGTTTCAATGGGGAAAATACACATAAATGTAGAAATTAGTTTTTTCCCTATAGGACCCTATAGGTTTTAATAAAATTTTGTCAAATGTTTTATGGTTGCTCTATAGGGATATCCCTATATATCCTTCATTGAGTTATTTTCTATCGGTCTCAATAGGGAAAATGTAAAAGTTATGGTGTGCCTATAGGTAATTTCCTATGCATTTTCTATCGGGCTGTATCCGGAAAAACCCATGGACAAATGCACATATAGAATCCGGTAGCGCCCGATAGATTATTTTGTATAGGTCTCTATGGGGTATTTTAAGCAGGGATATGGATGACCACGCCCCTTGTATATATTCTATCTTAAGTTGGGAGCAAGTATTCAATGCTTATTGGCCGGATTTGTGGGGCACATGCGCAAATGTTTCCATTTCCTCAATTTGAAGAGAGGGCATCTCTCTTTTACGGCAAGTCTTGCCGGGCAAGAACATTTACTCAATGAATAAATTGTTGGTTATTCATATAGGAGTGATAGATATATGACAAAATTCCATTCTTTGATATTAGTCATCTTAAAAAATTTCATAATGGACTTTATATGAAAAACAATTGTATTTTTTCAAAATTTTGTGAACTTTTTTAACACTCAACCATTGGAAATTTTATGGATGGTAGAGTCTTCTTAAACCATTGAACAAACCATTAGGTACCAACAATTTGGCACCATAGCCTACATTCAAATAAAATAGGTTTAATATAAAGTTACTGTACCTGTAAATATCTTCAGCATACACCCATACCATAGGTTCTACGAGCTTTCCAAGGTTCATGTCGATCATAGTCTGCTGCGATAGGTGTCGCAACATGTCGTCCCAAATAATAACACGCACCTCGGGGTATTTCTCGTGTACGATATTGGCAACCTTGCGCACGTGTCGTAAGAATAATGTTTCATGGAGTTCCAAACGGCAAACGTCGCACTCGCCCATTTGGAAAACTTCGTCGCAACCAATATGTAGGTATTTAGAATTGGGGTGAAGAACCATAACCTGTAAAACATAATTAGCTATTAAGTAACTTAAATAGGTACCTATTTTTACGAAATATTACTAAAAAATATTGCAAGAACGAGGAAGTTATACAATTGTACAAGTATAAGAGAGATAATATATATTGCAAGAAAAAAATCTATTAATCCTTCCCTGCTTAAAATACCCCATAGAGACCCTGTTCAAACCAATAGATATTTGTATCGGGATGTATGGTGTTTCTATAGGGTGTATCGGTTTGTATAGGACCCGTAGTGGAGATTTATGGTTGTTCTATAGGGATATCCACCATTGATTTATTTGCTATCGGTTTCAATGGGGAAAATACACATAAATGTAGAAATTAGTTTTTTCCCTATAGGACCCTATAGGTTTTAATAAAATTTTGTCAAATGTTTTATGGTTGCTCTATAGGGATATCCCTATATATCCTTCATTGAGTTATTTTCTATCGGTCTCAATAGGGAAAATGTAAAAGTTATGGTGTGCCTATAGGTAATTTCCTATGCATTTTCTATCGGGCTGTATCCGGAAAAACCCATGGACAAATGCACATATAGAATCCGGTAGCGCCCGATAGATTATTTTGTATAGGTCTCTATGGGGTATTTTAAGCAGGGTTCCACTTTATAAAGCCATCTTTGTAGCAAGGTCAAAAACGTATGGTTGTTCCTATAAAACACAAACATAACCAACTTTGTTGACAGTTCAAATCTTGTTACTTAAGTAACAAATGTTATAAAAGTTTTTTATATCAATATTATTTTTTCGACAATTAAAACTTTTTATAAAGTATTACTTTTTTTGAAAAAAAAAACAAAAATAATAAATGTTTCCCTCTTGTAAACACAATCATTCATGGACATACTGTATATTATTACTTCTTTTTTTATAAATTCTTTTGAACAAAGTTTAAAATTTACAAATATTTTGGTGTTATATTCCATTTTTATTATAAAGATTACTAAAGTAATTAATTACTGGTTAACTATTAGCCAACTTAGCCTAGTAAGCCAGCTTAGCTGAGAAATATTTAACCAGTTGGTCAAGTACTACAGCCCTACTTATTACTTATATTATTAATCTATTGTATATGAGCGAGTATTAGTATAAGAACGTATGGCAGGCCCCAGCGGCCACGCCTTACACTGATCTTCCAGGGTTATTTTACCCCCTTTAGGTTCTATATGTATCCCGCCACTGCACAGCGTTACCTGTGTTTGGTGGATCCGAATTTTCGCCCCGGCAGGTAATCCTCCCTAGGAGGTCGTGGATGGCAGTTTCGATGGTTAAGGCCATTCCCGGAATTTTGTCGCCGGGCCGACCATATGCCCGATTTAGGCTAGTGGAGTGTAGGACTAAGTACAATACGAACTCCCCCTCAACCAGGTAGTAATCAATCAATTTGGGGTTCATGAATGAGGCTTGGGTTATTAGTACGTTTCTTGGACATCCTGGTCTTGTATTTCATCCGGGTCCTTGTCCGGGTCTGCCCCACTGGGGTGTTGTTTTTACTTTCCCCACATTCTTAGAATCCTTTTGTATATTCTTAAATTTATTTTATTGTTAAAATTAATGTATTATACCATTAACCTTTAATTAAGTCTTCGCAAACATTTTATTTTGTACCAAGTTTGTATTATGTAATTAATAATATACATGGGATAAAGCCGGCCCTGTGGTGTATTAAAATTTGGAATACGGCCCTAAAGGCAGGCGTGTAGCGATGTTGCTTAAGTTTAATAGATGGTTTGTTTAGGTCATACTTATTACGTCCTCGTTTTGTTTATTAAGATACTGTTTATATTACTTTCGTTATCTTTTAAAAGCTTTAATTTTATGGGGCTGGCCTGTAAGTTTATGCTTAAATTATATAATATATATAATACAATAATATAATATTGTGACGTTCTTACTTGATTTGGTTTTTTTACACTCATACGCTGTTATCGATAATGACTCGTTTTTTCTTTAAATAGGTGATTCCTTGACCTGTCCCCTGTCACTTTATTACTTCCGTGTCCGCACAGACCTCACCCCTGTGTTCACCCGTTCAGAGATCTCCTTTTGAGGAATTATTTAATATTTCAATTAAGCCTTTGGAGAACAGGTACCCTGATTTCACCTTTACAGGTATGTAGTAAACCATACTTGTAGCACTGTTTCGCACCACTCTTTAAGACCAATTCTCACATAGGGACGCGACGCGATGCTTCAAAATCGCGCCCTATTGTCGCTCCAGGAAGCGACAAAATTTTGTCGAGTCGCGTTGCTGGCGCGTCGCTATGTGGGAATTGTCTCATTTAAATGCATGGTAATCTTTCATCAGCTACATTTTAAATTGTCGCGTCGCGTAGCGTAGCGTAGCGTCGCGTCGCTATGTGAGAATCGGCCTTTACTCGACTACACTGTATATGAGCGATTTTTATGTTTCTTCTAAGAATTTTATTGTGGATAGGTACTAAGAGCGCTCGAACTCACACGTCTACTCTCTTCCCCGTCTGATTTGAAACTGATATTATTAATCCATTTTATATACAGATAAATTTAAAACGGTTTATTTTTAGACAAGTTGACAATAACAAAAATAAAAACTTAACACCTTTTTTTTATACAGTAGACATATACAGGGAGGCAATTTTTTTATATATGTTGCAGTCAATGTGTAAATTCCGTAAATGTATGCACTGAATAGCTAATGTATGCAATAACTGATTTTGATACGCAAATGTATTCAGAAGCGCATTAACTTACTTACTAGTAGATGTATACATTGCAGAGTTGGGAGTACTGAGTATTTTTTTTAATGGATTATGCTATCATTACTAATTATTACTTGATTTTATAATTGTAATGAGAGAAAAATATTGAGTACTTTTTATTTTTACTTTACCAATTTGATAATTACAATTCTTTTTTTATTTTGTTATTATAATCAGAGAAAATATCAAGTACTTTTTATTTTAACTTAAAATGTTTACTGATTCTAAATATTTTTTTATTTTATTTGATAATTTGATAATTACAATTTTTTTTTTATTTTGTAATTATAATCAGAGAAAATATCAAGTACTTTTTATTTTAACTTAAAATGTTTACAGATTCTAAATATTTTTTTATTTTATAATTAAAAAATAATAAAGAACAGAATACATTATATATATATTTTTTTTTGATTTGATTAGAATGGTGAATAAGGATACTTCCGTGCTTGTTTATGTTTTTATTGCGACTAGTTTCGATCTATATTAGATCATCTTCAGGCAAACTACAAAAATATGTAAAATTATTATAAGGTTATGTTAACATAATAATGATAAAATTAACGCCCTGTCTAGAGTCCCGTCAGACGGTTCCCTATTGCGCTCCCGTTAACAGAGTGACGTCATCTAATGACGCAATCTTAGGACGGGAAGCAGATATTTTTTCCTTAACTAACGTCCCGAGTCCGCCCGCTTCGAAACCAACCCAAACCAAACAACCCAACCCAACCGACCCCGTATATACAGTATTTATAATTATTAATTAGATTTTGTTTTTTATTTTCAGTCGGTCCCGTTAAAAAATACTTCGTACTTGTATTTTCATTTATATTTTAAGTACAATCAATTTTTTACTTTGACTTTAAACTTTTTGCATTACGAAGTACTAAAAAATATTATTTATTCAAATTAATAAGTACAATTATTTTTGTATTTTTACTTTAAATCAATTTAGAGTAAAAAATACAATGTATTGATAATTTTTATTTTCTCCATTCTCAAGTAACTTAAATATTCTAATGGCAATACTTTTTAAGTACAAATCTCGCAACTCTGATACATTGACGCCACAAAGGTAGCAAAAGTGTATATAAACTAAAACTTATCAACCCAACCCACAAAACCAACCAACATCACCAACAAAACCAATCAAACCAACCAACCCAATTAGGTGTTAACACACAAAACCAACTAACAGTAAATGTAGGTAGTACGCACTTGACATATATTTACATAAATGGGTAGGTAACTTTTAAAACGTTAATGATTTAAATGCTGGATAAAAGTTGAAGCTGAAAATGGCATTTTTCTTAAAATCGCCCTATTTAAAAAACTGATAACTTGTAGTTTTTGAAATTTTTTCATAATATTTCAGAAACCGATAAAAATAAATCCAAAATAATTTTTTAAAAAACACAACTTTGAAGTAATTTAACAAACTATGTACCGTTAAGAAGTTTCCGAATACATGTCCATTAAAAAAGTTTTTACATAGTATAATCAGATAAAAAATAATATTTTATTGGCTTTTAATATTACCAGGTTTTCAAAATTTTCAGACAAGGCCTGTCGCCTAAACGTAGAAGAATTGATAAATGCATACGAAAACAACCTTGTTTAATTTGTTGGACAGCCACACATCCAATCATTAAACAGACATCCTCGTTTGTCTTTCGGGCGATATTACGGGGTCGGGGATTCACCTGACAAAGACATTAGACGGCACTCCTGTGTGTGCGAAGCTGATATAACTCTTTTTAAATATGCTGCCAGCACATAGCACTCACCGTGCGCTTAAACATCACTGCTTTTTCTCTAGTAGAGAATCTCTACACGTCTGTGACTTTGACTTTGTGTTTGTGTTTTAGCACAGAACACATACCGCATTTTCATTTGAAATATATACACTCGAGTGAACCCGAGTGAACACGATCGCCCCTCCCCAGATGCATTGTAAGCGGATAGCCGTAGGCGTCGCCTGCCAGGCGACGATTCAGTTATGTTTTGCATCTGCTAGTGTATTTTTCTATCGTTTTAACATAAATTAATTTCTTTTATTTAAAATTATAAGCTATAATGTTCCACACACTGTAAGAGAAAATTAAACATGATAAGCTAGTCTTTAGTGGGAAATGGTTGTATTTTGGGGTGTAAATGTTATTTAGTACTTCAAGAATTTATGTAGATGCGGAGATGAAAGAAAATGGTTTGTGCAATGGTAGAAGAAGATTCAAATAC